ACCTGACCGAACGATTTGCCAACCAATGGATAGGTCGTGGTGGTCTAATTACTTGGCCTGCTCGCTCTCCCGATTTAGATCCGTTAGATTTTTACCTCTGGGGACATTTGAAATCAATTGTCTACTCAACCCCTGTTGCCAATGTTCAACTTCTTCGTCAGCGAATTCAACAAGCCTGTGAACAGATCAAACAAATACCCAGAATTTTTGAAAGAGTAAGGAACTCTATGATACGACGACTACATGCTTGCATTCAAGCCGAAGTTGGCCATTTCGAGCACTTTTTGTAAAAGTAGGCATCTGAATCACAAACATGGCTGTAACTCGGAAACGATGTTAAATATGGCATATGTTTATATATATGTATAAATACAATTAATGCTATAAATATAGGGTAATTATGCATATTAAGGTCCCACCCTCGCAGGGTAGTAATGTTGACATATATTGTCAAGGTCATGACTCTGATCAACATTCCGAAGGTTTTAGCCGGCGGTCGTTGCTTATTTAAAAGTTATTAACAAATAAAGTTTAAGAAGTATACCAAGTAATTTTCGAACATGTATAAAAGAATAGTGAGTTTGACCTTGACATAACGAAAGTTGTAAAGTATATTGTTGTAAAGTATATGCGTAGACGCAGTAGGTTCCGTAACCTAACCAAAATCAAATTTTAGTTTTAAATCAGAATAAGGTTTAGGTTAGGTTATATCTTCCGGAAGTGGAGCCCCCCCGTAGGGGGGGGGCGGAACTCACTGCTTCTATGCACACACTTTCTCACTTACACAAGAATTGTGGGGTGGACCTCGCTTTGCTTTGTAAAGTATATGCGTGGACACAGTGGATTCCGCCCCTCCTACGGGGGTGGTCCCACTTCCGATGGCAGCTGCATTGATTAAAACAGAAGATACTACGATGCAGCTTTAGAAAATGTGAAACATGTTTCGAGGTGTCAACTACACAGTGTTAAAGCACTATTTAGGATAGGTATTGCAAAAATCCTAATCTTCTTCTTATTTAATAGGTCATGACAACATATGTCAACATCACTATCCTGCGGGGTTGGGACCTTAATATGCATAATTACCAAATATAGTTAATATAGTTTATACGAATAATTAGAAGATCATATAAAAGTTTATAATAATTTGGCAGCTGCATTGATTAAAACAGAAGATACTACGATGCAGCTTTAGAAAATGTGAAACATGTTTCGAGGTGTCAACTACACAGTGTTAAAGCACTATTTAGGATAGGTATTGCAAAAATCCTAATCTTCTTCTTATTTAATATTTTTTTTTAAATAAGTTGTATATATTCTTGATTTATATTTTATATATGGAAAATTCAAATATGTGTGTATATATATTGTGCGTATTGTAGGAACAATACAAATATGTGTGTATATACCTATATTGCGCACATCGTAGGAACAATATTAAGACGCAAAGGAGAATATGTAAAAGTTTATGCAATTTCTCTCTCTCTCTCTCTCTCTCTCTCTCTCTCTCTCTCCACGGAAATTCAAAAATTAAATCCAGAAATAAAGATATTTACTACAGAATTAATGATCTTAAAGGATAAAATTACTAAAAATGCAGAAAAAGAAAAGCATCTATATCGTAAAATGTTAGATGTAATTGAAGATACTAAAAATCCGTCAAAGGATATAAAAGCTGATGATAAAAGTAATTAAGTAAAGGATATAGGTGCTTTTCTTTTTCTGCATCTTTAGCAATTTTATTCTTTAAGATCAATAATGTTGTAGTTAATATCTTCATTTCTGGATTTAATTTTTGAATCAGTGGGAAAAAAGAGAGAGAGAGATTGCATAAGCTTTTGCATATTTTTCTTTGTGTCTCAATATTGTCCTTACGATACGCACAATATACACACATATTTGTATTGTTCCTACATAAGCACAATATATACAGTGCCTACCAAAAGTTCCGGGCTACCTAAATAATTTTTGAATGGTTTGAAATATAGGATTGAAATTTATAGGGATACAATGGGATCACGAAGTCTATTATTTAACCACAAAAACACCCATCTCTACACCCGCGGTGGATGGGGGGAGGGGGGAGCCAAAAAATCTTAAATGGCATGTGGAGTTGAGTGAGGGCTCGTTCGAAAGGGCTTTCCGAGACGAAAACAACGCGAGGTCGCCGAGGTCGACGAGGGCCCACGGCGACAACAGAAGAAAGATAAGGCTTCACGCGGGCACGCGCATTTCTGTGTGTGTGTGTGTGGGTGGGTGGGTGTGTGGATGGGTGTGTGGGTGGGTGTGTGTATGTGTGTGTGTGTGTGTGTGTGTGTATGTCACAACAGAGATAAGAACCCCGCAGTTCGTCACTTCCGCCGTGTCCGGCCAACCAAGGCAAGACCGCTAGCGTGTCCTGCCAACTAAGGCAAGACCGGGATGGGAACACTGGTGTATGTGAAGGAATAAAAACACTAATTATTTTATCAAATGTTCAAATTGATGTCCTTCGACAACTTGGCAGTGTTCTAAGCTAATGTAAAACGAGCATTTTCTGACAATAGAAATATACTAAAAGTTGTTTGGTTTGATCTCAAATGTCAATGCCCGTATGCCGGCGACCTATGATATGCAGTAGTTGGTGTTTCCTCAGAGAGTTCTCACTTGTAAACTCATTACAAATCCTCACAAACTGAATTGCTTCTAAGTACTTGGCTAATTAGCTATTGATTTTATATTTAGTTTTTATTTTTTATTTTTTAGAGGTTTCTTACTTTTTAGGGGAAAATTTTTTAAATAATTATTTTTTAGAGGTAAATATTAATGTTATAAATATTTTACTTGACATATATTTTTTTTATTTTTTATTATTTACTTACCGTTATTTTTTTTACAGCTGAATTAAATTTGACAACAACATAAACGTATATTTGTGCGTGTGTGGATGCATGTATGAGTGCGTGAGAGGGTGGGTGAGTGTATAAAATTAAAAAACAAACACATATTAACCATATCCCAAAAATTAGCAAAATTTTTATATTTGATTAAAATCAAGTAAACTCCGAGTAAAAAGGCAAAAGAGCCACGCGCAGTTTTTTGGGCGCAAAGGTATATAATTTAAACCAAAAAATAAATTAAAAAATTAGAGAATTTCTTTAATTACATGATTCACGAAAGGCGGACGTTTCGGCCCTTTTTTTGGCCATCATCAGCGCAAATAATACTAAACTCAACAATATAAACGGTATACAGAAAGAGTCTTAATCAATTAAAGCGCAGAGTTACATGGTAACCAACGGTAGAAGGCGTAATCCCTCATGTCGCTCCAAAAGGCAAAAACCATTCTCCATGTAGTCCATGTTATTTCGGGGCAGAAACCTCGATTCTTTAAGCATGAATCCACGAACATGGT